TTGATTAAGGACATTTAACACGATTTCATGGCTGATTTGCCCCACCCATATCACGTCCATCCTGAGCCACCCGTATTCGTCCTCCGCCTTCGCGCATTCCCAGTGGAAGACGGCGGCATTATCGGTGATGTCGACGTTCGCATATGATCACTCAACTGCGGCGACGTTGCTAATGATGATACCGACGACTGCTGGGACGAGGATGGTGACGACGATGGTGGAAGCTGAGACATGGAACGCGGAAGACGCACTTTCACACCCACATTTCCGGTCCCGCCGGCACCCCCTGCACCACTGCCACCGATGGTCACCCCAACAGCTGCAGAAACACCGCCATTTTGGGACCTCCCATCTCGACTACCGGCCCTCAGGCCTAGGCTGCTGCTGATCCCATTCTCGCGACGTCGCGGCGTATCCCTGCCCTCATAGAGTAGCTTCGACGCGCTGGACCGGCTGACCTGCGGCGTGGTGGGCATTGAATGGCTAGAAATTAAGGTGGCAGGTGTCGTGGAGGTGCTTCTGCGCCGCATGGTTGTTCGACGCTTGATTCCAGCGGTACCAAGCATTGCGGCATCGCTCTCTTCGCTCGACTTTATAAGCTGAACTGCTAGTTCGCGGACGAGGACACGTGAATCGTTTTGTAGTTCTCGGATTGCGTCGAGGAGACCGTAGCGGCTTAGAAGGCTGCCATGTTCCTCTGTTGCGTCACATATTGTAGAGAGGATACGTAGAAGGTTCACCCGCACAGCGGGTTTGGTGTGATGGAGTTTTTGCCCGATGCGGCTGCACATATCTGGCCGGGCTAAGGTCGATGCGATCGGTGGGCTTAGTCGCAATAACTTTTGGAGGGGTTCCAGAAGATTTTCGAATGCATTTGCTTTGGATATGGTAAGGCAACGAACAATAGCCTCGATGAAGGGAGGAGGGCCATTTCGATCGTCGAGAAGATGTTCTTCAACTTTGGCAGTCTCTTCTTGAAGCCTATAAATTTTACTTCGTTAACCGAGAATCAACCCGCCAAGGGCATTGGATATGATATGAATGTATAGAATGGGGGGACGATACCATGTAAATATGGCGTCGAGGGCTGTGACCTGCCAATACGGATCAGAAAGTAAAGATACGTAGAACGATAGACCCTTATTGCGCCACAGCTCTCGACGACCGACTTTCCCAGAATGTGCCATATCGCAAAGAATAGGTAGTGCGAATTCCTTCAATGGCCGCTCTGTCTTGACAATTTTTTGCAGGAGAGGTATGATGCCATTTAAAGCCGCGTCCTCCTGGCGCGGTTTGCTTAACCTGCACATGTTATAGATGGTGTTAAGAATTTGATTTGATACTTCTCGGAAATGTGTTCCTTTCATGCTCGATCTCAGGAGCTCCGTAAGGACGTCGATTGCATTAGAGTTTTGAAGGCAGTCGATGGTTGTGGACAACATGGATAGGTTTTTGATAAATTTCAGCATCGTTATTTGGTGAACAGGAGTCATCCTTTTCAGCTCCTTAAGAACTCCTACAGGCAATTGTCAGTAAAATGCGAAAGAACACGGCCCATGTTTCCTCTAATTCGACTTAACATACTATGCAAAACAGTCCTTTCAGCAACCATCTCCTTGACGTGGCTTTCAGCCTGGGAGAATATGAAAAATATATTCGCAATACGTCCTTCACAAAGCCTAGCCAGTTCCCCTTCTTCATCCAGAACCCTGCTTAAAACGAGGGACAGTGGATCCAAGACTGAATTTCTCGACAGGATACGGCAGAAGTCGTTTTTGGGCGTCGATCCCTATATTTCAAGAGAACAAAAGAAAGTAAAAAGTTCAACGATGTGAGTCCGAAAAAACTTCTAGAAATAACAGCACTGGTAGGTGACAAATAGGTAAGAATGAGAAATATTCTTTTACCTGTAATTCAAAGACGCTCCATATCCCATTAACCCCGATTAAAACGAGGTCCCGCTCATCTTCATAGTCATCCTCAAGAAACTCGACCAGAACATTCAACCCCCCCGCACTAACGAACATCTGCAAAGTCAACGTCGACGTCTGATACATCTGCTGCACGAACGCAGCGGCCTCAAGACGGATTTCCCGTGGGTACTTCTTGGATGCGAACTTGTTGATTATAGGGATCCCGCCGACGAAACAGAGGTTCTCTTGGACCTCATAATCGTCGAATATAATCTAACCCGAAAAGAAAAGGAAAAAAAGGAAAACATCCATTAGTTGCCAAAATGACATATTTATATTTGGTTGCGTTTACGGATAATGAAAATAACCCACCGCATTAACAATCTTCAAAAGGTTCGATATCACATCCCGTCTCCGGCAGTTTTCAAGAATTTCTAAAATAGGAAGCATGCCATGTGCACTGATAATTACACTCTTCGTCTCTGGCAAATCGGCATATAAAATCAACTTTAAAAGGGTATACATCAGTAAGGCACTAGGATAATTATTCATATAGAGAGAGGTGGCGTGGATGAGGGAGGGAGAGAACGGCAAAGAAAAAACTCACCAACTGCTCCGATATATCCGCCAACACATCG